TGTTTTGTTTTGGTTTGTTTTTTTCAAGACAAGGTTCCTCTTCGCAGTCCTGGCTGTCCTGGAGAAGCCTGGCAATACTGTCAGGAGCTACTGTGCTGGCAAGCAAGTGGAAGAGGGCAGTTCTTTTTCTCCAAGTATGACTTATTTTAAACATTACAACGGATACCCACTAAACAAATCGACATCTGGACATCTCATCACACGCCCATCTTTTAAAATCAATGAAAAAAATTTGATAGCTGAGACCCCTTTTTTACCCACTCTGGTCTCTTCCTTTTTTCCCCTTGGAATTGCCTCTTTGTGGTCTTGACAAAGACCCTTTACGTGCACGCGCAGGCGAGACTCTGGAGACTGGCAAACTGTGGGACTCTGTGTGCATGCACTGCTCTGTCACACAGCATCCTCCCAGAGCTCTAGACCCTGCCTTTCTGTGGTGGCCACTCTCCTCTGCGCCACCATCGCCTCACACTGCCGTCATTCGCTCCCTTTCAGCAGTCACCAGGGGTCTTGAATCAGTCAGGCTATGTGGACTGTTGTTCAAATCCCACTCATGGCTTCTGATTTAACTCAGAGTAAAATTCAAGGCCTTGGAACCTACTGGGCTCTAAGCCGTTTAGCCCTCTTTGCTTTCTGTCCTTATCTCTCAAGACACTGTTCCACTTCCCCCACTTTCTCACTTTTCCTGAGGACAAGGCCTCAGGCTGTTCCTGGACAGCCATATCTTTTCTCTAGATGCCACATGGCCTTGTCTCTTCTTCAGTCCTTTGCCCATATTTCACATCTCCCTAAGGCCTGCCTGGTACACGCAATTTAAAAATATGACCCACACTCCCATCCCTTGCTCTGCTGCCTAGGTCTTATTTTTTTCTTTTTCCATAGTATTTATTCTCTACTGAGCCATGTGTTTTACTTATTTATTACATTTACTCTTGATCACCTGTTCCTTCTGGTTATAACAGAAGCTCTCCAAGAGTTGCCGTTTTTTGGTCAAATTTGTATGCTTAAGTTTTCCTAGTTTCCTCAATAATGTCTACCTAGCACCTAGGCTGCTAAATTACTTAGCGAATGACTAAGCAAATAAGAAAATGGATTGTGAATTTAAGCCTCTCTTTTTTTTCCCTCCCTCCCTCCCTCCTTTCTTTCCTCTTTCCTGCCTTCATTTTTGCTGTGTTTGGGACTGAATGAATATAGGGTCTCACACATGCTAGCAAGTGCTGTACCACTAAAATAAGTCTTCAGTCCTTTTTACAACGTTTATTTTGAGTCAGGGTCTTGCTGACCTTGAATTGTCTCTGTAGCCCATGCAAGCCTTTGTGATCTTTCTGCCTCAGCCTCCTGAGTAACTAGGATTGCAGATGGATTACAGAGGTACACCCTCAGGCCTGGCTGAACCTAAGCATTTCTTGTCAGGGAACTTCTGGAGCTTTCACTGGGTTTCCCAGGGTGTCTGTGATACAAAAGAGAGTAGGAACCATTGACACAAATACCCTTCAGAAGTTGGGTGGGAACCATCAGCTTGCCGAATAGTCTGCAAGGTCATGAAGGGTTTTCTTCCTTTCCCAATTTGTGACTCTTTGGAGACCTACCCTTGCAACTTTTGGTCTTCCTTTCTCAGGCAGGCAGCAAGTGTTGCTGGACTTAGCCCTAGCTGGCTGCACTGAGCAGGGGGAACTGAGAAGACACTGACCAGGATGTAGGCAGGAGCTCTGGCAGCCGGCTGGCTCCAGAGAAGCCATAATTTCCACTTTTCTTCTTCGAAGACAGTCTGAGAGCAGAGGCCGATGTGGCCACTGTTCATCCTTGTGGAGCCAGGCAAGATGCCCAGACCAACAGGAGCTGCTTCCGGCTTCACAGACACTGTTCAGAGACAAGGGGTAAATCCAGGAAATCTCGTAGTGTCCTGTGCTCACCCCCACCTCCCTGAGAGCTGGTCTGTGCAGATGAGTGAGGGCAACCTGGAAGGCAGCGAGACACCAAAGGCCATCTGGAGGTATAGTTGGAGTGAATTAGAGGTGAGTCAGCCAGCTCCTGGGGCAGTTAAAAGACAAGTGGCTAATTGTGGGTGCAGACGACGGGTCACACAGAGAAAATGAGGAACAAGTGGTTAATTGGGCCCACAAGCCCAGGATCCCGCCTATAATTAGCAAATTGCAGTGCTTTGATATTTGCTTTGGTAACAACGTGTGCAGTGAATTGCAGGGAGGAAAACTGCGCCCCCAGCCCGGGAAGTGACCTTAGGTCTAGACTCCTTGCGCCATTCTCACTCACACCCCTGTAGGCAGCACGCATATGAGACCACGCCCCTCCATCCCCACAAAGAAGTGGGGCTTGTGCCTTGTTGCTTTCTATGTCAATCTTTCCTTAACTTTTTCCAGTGTGGGCCTGAAGCAGGAGGCTTGGTTTCCTAGCACATATTCTCACAGATTGCACACGAATGACTGTGCTCCCAGAAGCCAGTAGAGGCCTCTGGCTGAAGATACCACGAGGGCTTGGCCCTGAGTCATTCCCAGCCAAGTTCAGTAATGAAGAAGGCAAAGTACAAGGGAGTTCAGTTGCAACATTGTTGGAATTTTATGCTTGAGGATGGCTGGCAAGGGGTTCAGGTCTGAACTGCTTCTGCAGGCTTCTCAGATGCTGTGCCTGTGTAGACCAGCAGCGCAGGAAAGTTCTGGGGACCTTTTCACAAGTATATAGGACAGATGAACACTATGAAGAAAGGAGGACTATATGAAGCCTCAGGAGACCTGGGTTTGAATCTGGGCCTCTCTGCTGACAGGTCTTGCCCCTCTGATTTAAATGTTTATATCTTGCCTCTGTCATTGGTGGGTCCGTTTCTACTGGCTGATTTTTCCCTTGATTATAGGTCCACATTTTCCTGCCCCTTCATACATTTATTAATCTCCTGGTTAGATAGTCAACACCAGGATTTTATAACGTGGAGAAGAATTTGAACTTCTATGTCTTCGTTTAAAGAGTGTTAAGCTTCATTTTCGTTCGGAGCTAAGTCACATAGGAATCCGTTGATCGCTTTGAGTCCTGCCTTTAGTTTTTGCTCTAAAGGGTCTGGAGTAGCTTTTCACTGCAGGGATGTTTCACATCTTATTCCCTTTGACTACTCTGGTCTCTTCACTGGGTACCTCAAAGGACTACCAAGGCCTCAGGTAGTCCTTCCCCCACCTTGTGAGAGCTCTGGGTTGTTCAGCAACACCCCCCCACCCCCACACCTCCACCCCCCGCCACACATTCACTTTTCCTTCTCATTTCTTCTGTCTAGTCTTACGCTTGGTTTCACATTAATCAAAGACTTGATAGAATATTTTTAGCAGGGTTCATTCCATGTATATCTCCGTGCTTTCTGGAATTATGATCCTCAATTCCTAGATATTTCAGCTTTCCCAGTCTCTAGTGTCTGTCTTTTTAGCTAAGTGAAATGAAGCTATCCAACTGGGATATGACCTGGGAATTGCCTGTGAGCGTAAAGCCAGGGTCATTTTGTGGTTCATTTAGTTGATTCTTTCATCTACTAACCTCAGTCTGGCAGTACCTCTTCCCAAATATCCAAAAAGAGCAGTCATGCTATCAAGACAGGAAGCCAAGCTCTTTCAAAGTTAATGAAATGCCAGTTGCCTCGTGTGTAGAAACAGCATAAAATTACATTCCTGAAAAGATCAACTCTGCTGACTGGAGAACAGTATAGGTGTGCAGCCACCTACACGGTATGTGAAACAATCCCCGGGTCAGAAAGAAAAGCTAATGAAAACTAGTTCCACTTTTGCTCCTTTTCTTTTCCTTGATTTGACACCGGTGCTATAGATGCATTAAGCATTTTCAAGTAATTGTTGAATTTTAGGGCCACAGGGGATTTATCCCAGAAAGATAAACTTGGGTTGCTACAAAGCTGGGCAATGGTGGCACACACCTTTAAACCCATTACTCAGTGGCAGAGGCCAGGCTGGTCTACAGAGTGAGTTACAGGACGGCCAGGGCTACACAGAGAAACACACCCTGTCTCAAGAACAAACAAACAAACAAAAACTTGGGTTGCTCCAAATCCTTCATTTCGCAGGTGAGCAGACTGAAGCTTGGTGAGTAGATGTGATTTTTACCAATGCCTCAAAACGCACTTGTGGGAGAATAAAACTGAGATTCACATATCTCGATTCCCAGACTCTGAGACATCCATGCGTTCAGATTACACTTACTGCACATCCATCAGGTTTGTAGCACTGAACTAATTGCCATATTACCTTGGTTTTTGGAAACGCTAAAAAAAAAAAAAAAATTATTTTGGAACATTAGAATAAGTACAATAAATCAGTATTTAATTTTTAATTTCCTTCAAGTAGAGGAGTCTGATTAGCATTAATTGAAGCTACCTCCCTTGCTCAGTGCAGGGATGTGAAATAGGCCTCCTGGGATTCTTCGTTATAGTGCTTCAGACATAAGAACTTGTCCCATAATTACTGTGGCTTTACGGTGCTGTCAGATATTATGGTCATAGGATGTTCTCTGCCTGTATGCAGCCATTTCAGGGACCCACTGCAAAGTCCACATTAAAGCTTAGAAAACTGTTCAGTGTCTTCAAGCCGAGGGCTTTCTGCACCCTCTGCAGCTGGAAAGAGCTTGACATCTGAGAGCCACAGCAGAGCTGTCCTAGGGACCTACACGGGCAAGCTTGGAAATGGTGCCATTTGGGAGCTGAGTGTGCAGGACGTGGAAGGGTATTCTAAGCCAAGGGGATTGCACAAGTGCAGGTGATGAAGCAGGGGCATGGCCAAAATGGAATATGTGACCTGATCCATGTACACCACATCTAGTATAGCCGTCTCCCTAGATCCCCCAAAGCTTCTTTTGTGACGAAGAAAATGATCAGACCCATAGCACTATAATCCCTGAAGTTTGAGAGACTGTACTGGAAGTTAAAAATTGACATTAGAGATTGCAAATGCAAGTATAAATGACAGAGATGAAAATAGAGAGGCAGGATTGAGCAGAAGGTGGATGGCATATATGTATATATATTTCCCCCTAATTACTACTGAACCAAAGACAGATAATTCCAAAATTATCAATAGGAACTTCTCTCCTCTCCCAGAACTCAGAGCTCTGCAGACTCTGGTTTGTGAAACAATGGTCAAAGGGCATAGCAGAAGATAAGATGGGGAAATTTGATTGGGAGATCACAACAGGAAGATTGTGACACAGCCTTTTGACTGTGAGTAAGCACCCTTGATTTCTCTGTTACAGTGTGAGGCTGGACCATGGGGCATAAAGACCATGTGCCTTTAATTCCAGAACTTTGGAGGAAGAAAGGTGTAGATCTCTGTCAGTTCAAGGCCATCCTGGTCTACATGGTGAAATCCAAGTTCCAGCCACACAGGTTTGAGGTTTCTTGTTGTTCTGGCCACTGAAGAATTCCCTCAGATACTGAGCAGACACAAGAAGGAGCCTGGGGAGGAAATCTGGCCTTTCCATGGGAAAAAAAGAAGTGAAGATAAGGAATGAATGAACCTATGCCTCAAGTTTCATAAGGACTGATGGAATTTGTATCTGTGAAAGAGCTAAAGGACACCTCAGCTACAAGGTCAGATCCTGGTTAATTTCATTTGTCCTTCATTTATCATTTATTTCTTTATCATTTCATTTATCCTTCTATTGCTAATTTTATGCAAGTCTAGAGGGCTATAAGTGGTCTAGTAAATAAATGAGCAGGTGGGAAATACCTCAGTAAAGAGATCTCAGTTGACAGAGATACCCTCTATGGGGTCAGATCATTTCCATTTTCTTCAGGGTTTGAAAGTTCCTGAAGCATCAGGGTTGTTTTCTTTCCCTTCTTTTCCCTTTCTCCATAACAGTTTCCTCATGTATTGCAAACAAAACAACAACAACCCAACTCAAATAGCTTGAGGAAGTCCCTGAAACTGACTAGATTCATTAGGTCCCTCCCTGCTAGAGTTAGCAATAAAACTTCCAAGAGTCACTCTCAGACAAGCCAAGTTGCAAAGTAGACAAGTCCAGCTGCCTGGAAGAAGCAGAAACTAGCAGAGCTGCCAGGAGGAGGTTTAGACCAACTTCGGCACCTAGAAAAGACACTCTCCAACCCTCCCAGCTTTGAATGAGCTGCCATTCATGCTGGAGAAGGCTTTAGTGATGTAACTGTCTTCGAGTCATTTCTGTACCTGTAAGTAACTCCAGTAAAAGTGGTTCACCAACTTGGACTTTGGCTTGTTGTGGGCTCCCTATCTGGGGTGAGGATATGTGTGTGCTATGTCCCCCTAGGAAAAGTTTTATCTCCACCCCCCAAAAAAGCCACCCCCTCAAAAAACAAACAAACAAACAAACAAAAACCCTCCACACATGATGTAAAAGCTATCCTCAACTGAATTAATGTCCATATTTACTGAGTTCGCTGTTCCAAGGACGTACCTGTGCCGGACACCGAAGCACCGTTGAGTGACTGTGACTGCGATGGGCCATCAGCACTGAGGTCCACAGAGTTCTCTTGGTTGAGAGAGCCAGGTTAAATGGCCCCTGCCGTGACGGCCTCCTCTCCTCCTCACTGTCTTCCAAGGGACCGCTCTTCCCATGCATGTGCAATAGCTTTACCCCACTCACAGCTGTTCCCAGCGCAGCGTTGTGACATCATGTGGCACTGTGTCTCACTTCAACGGGAAGGCACTGTGGCAGGGCCTGGGGGGAGGGGTTTGCTGTGAGCCTGGTTTGGTTTCCAGGGACCTCAACATCACTGTGTACCTCTTGTTCCAGCTCTCTTCCTGCCCCGTGGGTCGCAGACCCCGTGGTTAGTTATAGTCTGAGATTCGGAGGAAGCTGCAGCTCTGGCTTCCTTGTTTTGCTTCTGAGCCAAAGTGAATGTTGCTTTTAATCTGGTTTTCTCTTTGATCCCTTGCTTCTAAGTCCTTTCCCCTTGAACCCCAGGTGGACCTGTGACTGTTTTGGTAAGTATGGTGGCAGAAGTGATCTTGTATGACCTCAAAGCAAGGTTCACCTTTCTCGCTGGACACTTAATTTTGGAGTACACGTCACTGGGTGAGAAGTTCAGCGACCCTAAGGACACCAGGGCAAGCACAGTTCTCTGATCAATAGTGCCCAATGAGCCCAGCCTTGCGGCCAAGTGACTGACCTACCTCAGACCCGCATGTCCAAACCTTTCCACGTGGCCTTAGTTAATGCCACATGGAACAGAATCTCCCAGCCAAGTCCGGCTGGATTCCTGACCCACAAAATCACGAAACGTGAGAAGATGGTGTTGGTTTTCATGCACTAAGTCTGGAGGGGTGGGGGGGAGTTGATTATGCAGCAGGAGATAACTAGAACGCTCGACATAAATAGAAGAATGTTGGCCGTCTGCTTTAGACAAATTTAGGCTGATTTCATATGATTTACCCCAACCATCTGCTCTAGCCCGTGATAATTCCATTTTGCTCAAAACTTGGATCAGGTTAACCTCTTCGCTGGGCCAAATCCTCACCTGAGTTTAGTGACAGTTCCTGGAGCCTTGGAGAAGCTACCAGAAATCCCACCTATGGCATGTCAGCAGAGGGGCACACTCAGCCCCAACTCAGACTCCCCCAGCACAACAGCTGCAAGCTGCCTCCGCCCACTGCTTCCTGAAAACAGCAGGAAGTTGGAATGGAGCCTCCAGTCCGACATCTTTCCCATAGACATGCGTGAACACGCCACCCTGGGCGTCTCCCCCAGCAACTCCACATACTAGAATGGCGTCTTCCCATCTCTTGGTTTGCCTTCCCTGTGGGCCATGTGGGCTGCCTGATTGTTACTGTTGCTTTGAGATAAGAGTTTACTACGTAGTCCAGGCTGGCCTTGAACTTGTATCCTTTTTTCTTCTGTCTCAAGTGCTGGGATTACAGGCCTGTGCTTCAGTGTCTGGGTCCACCCCCCCCCCACCCTAACCCCACCTCCTCCTTAGTAACATCATCTCTCTCCTTATTTTGAAGAGACACATGGGATGTCTAAAAGCAATAGGAAGTTCATCAGAGTTGAGACCACACCTTGCCCTAATTTTTTTAGGTTAGATTAAGTAGGTTAGGGTGAGCATAGGACTGGGCAGGATCTTCACAGTCGACTGCTATGCATATGCGTATAATCGTCTCAGTATGCAAAAAGTATGATTTTCCTGAGTCTTAGTTTTCCCATCAGTGTCTTAGCTATAGCCCCAGGGAAAAGATGTGGGTGTGAGGAACATATTGGGAAGGGAGGAGAGGCCCAAATGATGGAATGGACAGAGACAAAAGCAAGGAAGAGGATGTTTTCCTGTCAGGAACCATTGAGGAAGCTGTAGCTTTGAGGGAAGAACTCTGGGGAGGAAGATTCTATTAGCATTCCCATTTTAGCGATGGTGACAAAAGGCAGAGAGCGCTCACTAAACAGTTAAGTGGCAGGAGCAGGATTTCACCCAGAGTCTGCTCTAGTGGCCATGACAGTGACTGCATATATTACTTCCATTTTTTAAAAAAGTAAAAGTAGGGCGCAGTGTCTGTGCCAAAAGTTAGTTTTTCCCCTTTCAGCATCAGTACTCAGCAAAGAAAGCATTTATATATGCCTAGTTACACACTCCATTTAAAGGCGATGTCCGGCTCTGGAACAGATAGAAAGCATGTTCAAAACTGAGATACATAGATGATAGATAGATAGGTAGATAGACTGATAGAGTGAGTGAGTGAGTGTTTGTGGGTACGGGCTTTCACTGCTAAGGAGTGGGGAAGGGCCTTACTAGTAATGAGCGGGATTTCTTTTTGTGGTGAGAAAACTATTCTAAAAGACAGGGGTAATGGTTACATGGCTGGGAATATGCTAAACCCCATTGAATTACATACTTGAAATGGATGAGTTTTATGCTTTTTTAAAATAAAAGATAAATACAAGCATTAAATTATTTATAGGCATTTCCTAAATGACTCATTATGATTGTTGTTGTTTTATTTGCCCTTTGGAACAAGGTTTCATTCTGCAGCCCCAGCTGGCCGGAAACTGACTACACACCCCAGGCTGGCCTGGAACTGTGTAGCCCAGGCTCAGCCTGGCCTGGAACTGACTTTGTAGACAAGACTGGCCTGAAACAGACTATGTAGCCCATACTGGCCTTCAAATCTTCCCAATCCTTCTGCCTTAGCCCTCCTAAATGCCAGGGTTACACTGGTCAGTCACCGAGCTCAGCTTCTTTCTGAATTCAGTCACATATATATGGAAACCAACAAAACAAATGAAAAGTCCCAAACCTCAGTATCCATTGCAGGTGCCAGAGTTAGTCAGCTTCCTGCTGCTGCAAACAAATCCGAGATAACCAACCGATACTTAGAAAAGGTTTGCTTTGGCTGACAGTTCCGGAGCCCATGGTCACTTGGCCCTATCACCGATGGGCCTGTGGTAAGCCAGCACGCTGTGGTGGGGAGATGTGGCATCGGCAAAACATATACCTCATGCTAGGAAGCCAAAGAGGGGAGGAAGAAAGGGAGGGGTTCCGTGATTCTCTCTGATGGCACACATGCAATGGTCTGGAGTTCTCTCACTAGGACCCATTTCTGAGTACCACCACCCTGGGGACCAAGCCTGCTCCACCTGGGCCTTTGGAGGAAATTCACCATCCCCACCAGAGTAAGGCCTGCTTGCAATATAGGAGCAATATCGTCAAAGAGGAGTGTTTCCCAGCAACAAAGCAATTTATGAACAGCTGAAAGAAAAGTGTGTTGTTTAAAGAACAAATGCTCAGTAGGGAGATATAAGTGGCTTGTGACTATTGGAAGGAGGGAGTCATAAGAGATCACGTGACCCAATGACTAGCTCAACTATCGGAAGGCCAACCAAGCAGAAATAACCAGCCCGCTGCTGTGAAGCCCAAATTTAGAACAATGGGTTGAGATATGTAACATAAGTTATAAGTCATTTGGAAAAGAAAGAAAATTCTTGTTACTTAACTATATTAGCATCAGGTGAAATAAATCATCAGCCTGAGACATTATTTTTGTTTGTTTTGTTTTTCAAGACAGGTTTTTGCTGTGTAGCCTTGGCTATCCTGGAACTAGCTCTGTAGACCAGGCCGGCCTCGAACTCAGAGATCTGCCTGCCTCTGCCTTCTGAGCCCTGGCATTAAAGGTCATCACCACCACAGCCCAGCCTAGGACATTATTTTATCATTTTATTGTATCAACACAAGGTCTCGCCTAGCCCCAACTAGCCTCAAACTCACTATGCTGAGGCTGGCCTTGAACTCCTGAACTTTCTGCCTCCACCTTTCCATTGTTGGGATTGCAGGTGTTCACCACCACACCTAGTTCTGGGACATTATTAAAATAAGTTCCTGTAAGATGACTAAAAGCTGCACTCAATAATTGTCATAGAAGATGTGAAGTCTAGGTCACACTGATGACTAAGTGGCAGCCTCGTGGGAATATTAACAATGCAGCTATTAAACTAGAGGGACCAAGAAATCATTTCCAGCTTTTACAGTTTGGTGCTTTCAAATTCGGCTTCAATTTCTAATCAACCCCCACACCACACCACACACACCCTGGTCTTGGTATATGTGGTTTTTAAAACAGGGTCCCTGCTTCGTAGTCCTGCTTACCTAAAACTCACAATCCTCCTGCCTCTTCAGTGCTGAGGGTATAGGCATGCACTGCCACACCTGGCTTCTGTTTAGTCCTTTGGGGGAAGGGGCTGCTTAGCTGCTTAGGATTGGAGGCTCACCGTGTAAATGACCGCAGTGTAAATGTCAGCTTGCTTTTGTAGGAGGCAAGACTTCTCAGAACAGTCCTGGGGGAAAGAGTGAGAGTTGGTCACCCTGCGTCTTATCTCAAGATAACGGGGCTGTTTTTAAATAGAAATCAAGAAGAACTGGTTTTCAAGGTGCGGAAGAACAAAATAACCCCCACAACGACTTCCATACCTATTTCCAAGACCGCTTTGTTGAGGCTGAATGGAAAGTTGCCTTGGAAAGAACCATAGGGCCTGGAGTCCTCTGTGAGCACTTTATGTGTGTGTTACTTTAGCAGTTATTAAGGCATCTCTGGGCCTTATTTATCCCACCCAAGAAGCAAAAGGAAGGAGCAGTGGCTCCTGTCAAGCTTCAGAATGGAATCGGAGATCGTATTCCCTTGCAGGCGTTCATGGCATTCCTGGAGGATGATGAGAGGTGATCTGAACAGTTGTCATGAAAGATGGCAAAGTCCAGGTCACCTGGTGAGCGAGTGGGAGGCCGGCTTCAGGGGACACACCAATACCACGTAGAAGGAGTCATCGACCTTGTCAAATGAAAGGCTGGCCTCACCTACATCGCTCCCTCCTTTCCCAGGGCTCCAAGATCTCAGAGCTATGCTCAGAAACTCAGAGGCCACTGGCGTCGGCTAAGATGGAACCCAGAAACCGTCTGAAGATGTGATTTTCTTATAGGCACCTTCTGCTCCCCCCCCCCCCAGCACTGTCGCTGGAATCCTGGACTCCGATGTCCCCTGTTGGTTACCCTCATCTCTCTCTTGTGCCCTAGCTGTGCTACCCTCTGAGATTCTGCTGCGGTCTACACATGGGGCTGAAGGGGCCCCTGGAGGGCTGTACCTGCCCTCCACCACCAGTGGCATGACCTTGTGGGCAGGAAGGCTGGGACCACATGGCTTGAACCAGGGGAGTTTTCTCTGAGCATAAGTCTACTCTTCCCAGGGTCCAGAGAGTGGCTGAAAGGGATATTTGTGACTGCCCGGCAGAGCACACCGTGGGCCTTCCAGCCTTAGTATTCAGTGCCAGCATGCAATTTCCTGCGTCCCACACCCCAGTTTCTGATTCAAGACATTGCAGAACTGGAGAGGGTTTAGAACCACTGCTGGGAACCCAGTTGCTAAACTTGAAGTAAGCGTTAAGAACTTGCAGACAGTGACGCTTTGACTGAACTTTTGTTACTTCGCCTCAGGGCACAGCTGTTGGCAGAGGCACCCATGGCTTAGAAGTTTAGGGGTGTTTGGGTGTTGGTGAAATGGAGAGCTGACCCTGCTACAGGGGTGTGAATATTGTCTCGGAGTGTCTCTTCTGACACTCAGGAAAGTGGGACACCCGTTGTTATGTGCATTTTAGGGACAGGGAACCCAGCCAAGCTCCTTGGCTTAAGGAAAACTAGCAAGTGGGTGTCGATTCCTAAATCAATGTACAAGCACTGGTACATGTGTCCCTTTTTTTGGCTCCCACGGGCACCTGTGCTTGGGATAATATGATTGCCACACACACACACACACATACACATACACAGTACCCCTAACCGCTCCTGTGAGGAAGTCTGGGCTCAGACAAGGTCCTAGACCTGATCCCAGGCTCTGTATGAGCACAGGTCTGTACTCAGCTGAGTTGTGCACTGTGGAGAACTACTTCACTATACCTGATAGCCTGTCTAGAAAAGGTACAATGAAGGCTGGAATCAGCAGACCCTGACTGTTGGGGGAGGCAAATGGCTTTTCTAGGTAGGAATCACCTCTGTACCCAGATTTCAGTCCCACTGTAACAATGACCGTAACATCACCATGCCCTGAAAAGGAGGGAAAAATGCAAAGAGGTCAACTCCCAGGGACTCCTTCTGAACTTCCTGGATGACATAAGGGCAGGTGTTAACTTGATTTAAAAGAAATCGGGGGACAGGGGAACGGATCTGAAGGTAACCAGCCAGCATGGCTGTGCTCTACAGACAGGGTCTCCTAGTTACAGGCCCTTTGTCTGCTCACAGCCTATCCTTCATCTGACCTGTTTCATACCTTCTCAAGCTGCCAGCAAGGGGAGGTGGTGGCAGGACTACTGCAGGCATTGGGACCAACACAGTCCCTTGTGGTTGGAGCGCCATGGTGATGAGTCCCATCCTAGATAACCGTTTCCACTGGAAGCATTTTTCAGATGTCAGCAAAGGCAATGGGGGAGGGGGGCCGAGGGAGGATCGATGTCTCCCTTGTCCCCCACGTCAAGGCCTGATCCAGCCAGGAGAGAGGAGGTGATATTCCAAAACACCCCCAAGCCACATCCTTTTTAAGTGAGCAGCTGGGCACAGTGATAGAGCTGATTGCCTGGATCCTTCTAGAAGAAATGCAGGTAAGAAAATGTCTAGAAGACCCTCAAACAAATGTAGATCCATTACTCCCTGAGCACTGGGATTTGTCTCCAGCCTCCGTTGAGGCAGAAGGAAGAGATTTCCTTTCTATGTGGAAATAGAAATGCACCCTCAATGGGCAAGCCACCTGACTACCTCTGCTTTCTTTCGAGAAGTTTGCTGAGGACGGCCTGTGCCCTGTGCACAGTGCTAGGCGCTGGGTAAATCTTTATGGACTAGCTTTGGAGTTTCAACGAGGTAGTTCATTAAAACACTCAGCAGACGGAATAAGGACTTGATAACTCGAAGAACACTTTGTTCTCGTCATAGCTTTTCCAGTGTTGGTCACTGGAGAAGAATAGGCTGTTAGACCCCTCTCATGGCTTTAGATCCCTTGTTGCCACAAATGCTCTTCTGTCCTCTTTCCCAGGCTGCTGGCTGCCTGTGCACATCGAGGGAACCGAAGTCCATTCAGTAAGGAACTGTCTTCTAAACTGTCCATAAAACTGTACCAAGTGCTCATGCATAAGGAAGATGCGAAGAGGAACAAGGAAGTTTCCAGACTTCTGTCAGCTCACAGGGAGGGAAGCATAAGCAACTAATAAACAACTAGAGTTAAATTGAAGATAGAAAGCAGAGCCACAGTAAAGTGGGGGGGAAGGGTATGCCTGTGGGGAAGGGAGAGCTTCTTTAGAGCTGCCGAAGAGGGTGCGTATGTGCTCGTGGATTGTGCTTTGAGGATGAAGGAAGGCTTGGGTGGATCCTGTGGAGGTAGGAAGAAAAGATGTGGCAAGCTGTGAGAATCTAGAGCCCAAGAGCATGAAGCATGAAGCATGAAGCTCGTGGTCTCTGAATTATCTTGCTAGTCAACTGTGCAGATATTTGGAAGCTCCTGTTGTCTTGTTGGTAATATTTGTGGGCCATTTTTACATATTGTTCATATTGATTGAATTTCATCAAAGTTAAAGGAGTCAGACATTTTGCTCATTTTCTAGAGGAGGAAATCATGACACAGAAATCACAAAGGTGGGGTGTACGACTGTGGCCACTGAACTCAGGTGTCCTGACTCCAAGTCTGATTTTCTGGGGCAGGATGGGGAAAACTCCTCTCCTTCCCAGGATGTCCATGCTAGTAAAAGCTCGGCTTGGAATGTTAAGAGACCTGAGCAATTTCTTTGACATTGGTGCATATCCCATGAGTCTTTGCAGGATTCAATACTCTTCCTTTCTTCTGATGACCCCTAACCACAATTCCATACCTCAGCTTCTTAAACTGTGGGTTGTGATCCTATATGGGGTTGTGTAACTGAATGTGATAAGTGAAAAACCAAAAACAACTAGCAGCAGTAAATGGTTTCTGAATGCATAATGAGGAATAATTAATTTTATTAATTAATCCAATGCAGAGTGAATCCGAGGTGATCTTGGCGGCACCTACCAGTTTTGAATTGTTTGGCTTCGCTGTAGCCTTGGTCCTGAACATAAACTCAAACACTTTATACATGCTATACTCCACACAAAACAAATGAAAAACATCTTGACTCAGATTGGAGATGGTTGTATGTATGAGTTTCAGAGTTTTCATTGTATAGACATTACTGTATGGAAACAATTTATATACAATTATATAGAATTATATACAATGTTTCTATATAATTATATATATAATTATGTTTCTACATATAATTATATACAATGTTTCTATACAATGTTTCTATATAACATTGTATATAATTCTATATAATTGTATACATTACTATAGAAACAATGAGTTATATACAGAGAACAAAGACTTTTATAATATACCTTGTGTTGAAAATGTTTTTTTTTTTTAATTGTTGTTGTTTTTTAATTTGCCATTTGAGTTGTAGACTTGAATTCAATAAAATTTCATTCAGTGAATTTTGGCTTGAAATTGGAAGAAAATTTCCAACAATTTCATAAATTGTGCTATGTGTTTATGTGAAGTTGTATTCTCAGTATTAGTTATTATAGAATCAAAACATTGATTAATTCTAAAATTTGTCAAAAACCTACAATATTAAATATTTGGGCAAGATTTAATTCTTTGTGTAAAAATAAATCAACTCATTTATCTCATCAGTCAGCAAATTTGTGTTTGTGTTAATGAGTGGTAAACGTTTATGTATATCAAAGAATTGTTTTAAAATAAATTTTTCTGTGATTTATCCACAAGCGCTTGTTTTGCGTATGTTTTTTATATACCTATATTCTGGGGATCAAGTACAATTTTCTCCATTGAAAAGTGGTTCACGTGGGAAAGGTCTACAAAATGTTGTTTTGTAGTCACAGCTACACACGTCTGTCCGCATTCTCAAGCCTTCGTCTGCTTGACCACCTTCAGCGGCTGCCCTGCCTCTTAGGGTGGGTCCTTGACCTTTCTTCTCAGCCTTTAGACTCCATCCTGGATGTCAACTCCAGGTAGGCTTCTTTGCTGGCTTTGTTTGTGCTTCTTGTGGGTAAGAACCCGAATTCCTTGCAGCTCCCAGTGCGCTCTGTGCTCTGGTAGACCTGGGACGGCCACCTGGGCCGGACACTCAGACCCTTATATGGCTTGAGGTGAAAGGTGAGCCCCTTACCCTGTCTTTCAGTGACTCTGTTTTTTTTTATCTGTATAGCAGGGCTCCGGAGTGGACCTACGGTGTGCTCTTCTTAGGCAGGCTCACTGGTGTCCTATAGGCAAAGCTTAGCCTAAGGCCTAGCACAGAGCAGGCACTTAGAAAATATGGCTGTTTCCTCTCCAGGATGGACTTTTCTTGTCTGGAAGGAGCATCAAAATGGATCACCTGGCTCCTTTCCCCCACTGTTGCTCATGGGGTTCCTAACCTTAACTATCCAGGTAAGCACCTCCCTCTTTTTTCACACCTTCACAGGCAACAAGCACTTTTCCTACCTCAAATCCTCACTCTGGGATTACCTGCCTAAACAAACAAGCAAACAAACAAATAAATAAAAGGACATGATGTCCATGCCAAGCCTGGCGCTGCCCAATACACACAGTAGGGATACTACCAGGTGTAGACAGGAACAGTATTCACAGCAAACACTGGAGGCATCAACTGAGGCATAGCACTCACACATTGGGTGACTGACCATTGGCCACACAGTCTTCTACTCATTTGTGTCCCCAGAAATAAACTGGAAAATTGGTCTCCCAGATGTGACAGGGTGTCTCAAGGATCACAGTCCCTTATAGACAAAATGGTGTATGGTGTGTCAAGACTTAGAAATGAAACACCAAGGAAATGCCTCATCACAAACCTCAAGCTTATTGGCCAGATCAGGTTCACCTTGGGGCCATGTCATTTACCCAGGCTCCTTCCAGGGCCTTTATCTCACCCTGTATTCTGCAACACCCTGCCCCACTCCCCCAAAACAAAAGCCAACAACAGCCCTTCAAATCACAGAGCTTTGGCTCTCCCAGTCCCTTTATATCTCTTTGCCACTTCTCTCCCAGGGGAACCCCCTCATCTTTTAAGTGTCCCCTCTGGGACTCAGAGATGAGACCTGTCATAGTCTATCCTCTCCTGGCTTCTCGTTCACAAATGCTTGAGAAATTGCCTGTTGTGAGGTGAAGCCTGCCTTGGCCAAAAGGCACAAAGAACCTCTCCCATTGCCCACACCCTCTGTCCCTCCCACGGGGTTTCTTGAGTGCTGAAAATCACCCTCTTGGTTTTGGCTTCGAGCCACACCCCATCCCTCCTCACACATCATCTACCACGTCTCTTCTTTCCTGTCCGGCCTCCTGGAATGAAGTTCTGCCTGAAATCGGGGCCTCCAAGCCTCTCCCTCCCAAGACATGGCCTGCAGTCTCACAAACCACAGCTGTGGGAAACAGGCCCTGCCCCAGCTGCACAACAGGCCCGTGGGTCACAGAGGTCAGGCCTGTCCTTGACCCTACCACTGGTGTGGGAGGGAGGAAGGGTATGCTGGGGGATAGGGCGAGGTGGGGTGGGGCAGTCAGAGTGAGATACAGTCCAAACCTTATTCTGGGAGAGGAAATGCCATTTTCATAACGTGCTATTTGAGGTCCTCTTTACACACCCTACAGGACTGAATTCTCAGCTGCTCTAAGCTTTGGAGCTCCTTAGGGATCTCAGGCCCTGAGTCCCACCCAGAGGTGATTGTAATTGGCATGGGTGTGCACCTGGAAGAGATTCTGTTAAAGCTTCCCAGATGGCTTGGGCGTGCAGCCAGAGAGGAGACCCACTCCTCAGGAGTCACGTTCTGTTATCCCAAAAGCAGGGAAAGGCCAAGGCCTGGGGCAGACTTGAACCTGACAACACAGCTCCCTGCCTGACCTCTGTTCCTGTGGCCTGGGTGGGGCACAGCCCGAGACACTGCTTAGTGAGTAAGGGTCACACTGCCCCTCCCTCACTACTGTCTCTACCCCAAGGAGAGTAGGAGTCTGGGGACAGACACAATAACTGTTGGGGCTAAGTCCTCTTTGGGACATGCTCGGCCTGAGTCAGGTTTGCCTTTCCAGGAAATTGAGACCAGGCTGGCGTTCCTGTCCCGGCTTCTGGTGCAGCCCTGTATTGGCCTCTCCTACTGCCTCTGGAGTCACCGAACTGCCCCTCTCACCATTAGTTCTCAAAGTCATCCCCCTTCCTCCTGGAACTTTGCCTCCACTTTCCTTCGGATCCAGTGGGCACCACATTCTGTGCGCTCACCCGCTGACCTTCCTCTCCTCAGCTCTTCCTCCTCCTGTTCCCCTTCTCCAGACCCCTCTCCCACCGTCCCTCCCTCTCTTTCCGTTTGCCTGGCTTTTCTTACTCAGGAAGCACAAACAATGACACTTGAGGGGATGGGGAAATGCTCACAGCTTGAGAGTGGAGACCGGAGTTAGGGTCCCTAGAACCTAGCTAAGTGCCAGCATCATGGGCGGCAGTAACTCCAGACTCAGAAGGCGGAAACAGGACAGAACCAGCCATAACGGCGAGCTCTGGGTTTGATTTAGAAACCATGCCATACTGAATAAGGTGGAAGAGCTGTGGAGGGTTATTCTGGGCATCAGCTCCCACATGCACTCATACCCACATACATGGATACTCCCTCACACGTGTGCCCGCACACGCACTCACATACATATAAAATGTGCAAGCATACATACACAAACACATATACACACGCTCACACATACCATACACACATACTCTGTTCACACATATCATACATACACACCACGTATACACACACCATACACACACACACACTCAAACACACAAACATCATATATACACACATATACACACACTCCACACGTACCATATACATTCACACATACACCATATACATATGCACATACCATATAACACACTCACACACCATGCACACACACACACTTACACACACCATACATATACACACACACATACAACATACAAAACACACACACCATGCACACACATACCAAACATACACACACAATAAACATACACATACTCACACAGATCATACACACACACACACCACACACATCGTCATGAAAAGCATGGAACAAAAAGAAACAGTGGTAATTGCTCAAGCATTTTAGAGTTTCAGAGTAAAGACTGGCACAAGGCATTTTCTTTCTTTCTTTTGTTTTTTGTTTGTTTGCTTTTGAGACAGGGTTTCTCTGTGTATCCCTGGCCATCCTGGACTCACTCTGTAGACCAGGCTGGTCTTGAACTCACAGAGATCTACCTGCCTCTGCCTCCTGGAGTGCTGGGATTAAAGGTGAGTGCTACCACCACCCAGCAACTTTACATTTTCAAAGTTCCCCAGAGTACACTCAGGTGCACAGAGATTAAGAGTCACTGTCCCGGAGCCACCAGAAGGAAAAGTACAATGTAAGCATGTAAGTTAAAAGTACAATGTATGTAAGTATGTCAGCACAAAAGTACAATGTAAGAATGTAAAGGTAGGAGACCCAGAGATGCCGAGGAAACCTTCCCCCCTCTTGGTCAGCTGCCAGCTTCCTAGGCTGTGAGAAGGAGCATGGTTCATCCTATCCAAAGCCATACGGCTGCGTCTGATAGAGTCAGGAGGTCTGTCTCCAAACAGGAGGGCTTCTCTGCAATGTGTGACCTTATTGTCTCCTCCCCATCCCCCTAAGAACGAAACCTCACTGCCAAAACCAGTCAAATGGGTGAGCAGTCTCCTTCTCTCTCTCTGACAAGCTACCTCTCCGGTTGGCTTGGCCAGGCTGAGAGGAGGTGGATGGAGGATCAGTTGAAACTTATCCACAGAGGGGGTCCATTCTCCCCCAGACCTCCAGGCCTCACTTCTGAGCTCCCAAAGCCCTTGTTTTAGCAACACGGGATGGGGATGAGGTTGTGGATAGGCTTTGCCACTGTGCTATGGTCAGTATCTTATGTAACGGGCTGGCATGGCCGCAGCAGACAGATGAGTGAATTGAGTTCTCAAACTGGCCAAGGCCTGTAGCCTCAGGTATGTCACCCCAGTCCTTGGCCTCCAGGAGCTGCTGGGTCCCAGGAAACAGCTTCCCTGCAGGGTGGGCCAGGAAGAGAAGGGAATCGATTGTTTCTTGAAGCACTTCCAATGAAGGTGTTCCTGAGCTCCGAGACTCCCACCGGCAGCCCACCGTGGCAGCCCGGTTACC